GGCATAAGATGACGGTCCTGGAACAACCAAGAGAGAAAGGACAACACCACCGGAACTGAAAGCAAAGAGCAACTACAAAGAGTAAAAAAGAACCGGAAGGACCGCCAGGAAACTTCATACTGCCGGGGCCAACCGAGCGAGCGGACAGCACACTGGACACATGATCCTGTGGTCCCGAGTTCGATCCCGGACGCCGGCGAGAAATGATGGGCAGAGTTTCTTTCACCCTGATGCTCCTGTTACCTAGCAGTAAATAGGTACCTAGGAGTTAGTCAGCTGTCACAGGCTGCTTCCTGGGGGTAGAGGCCTGGTCAAGGACCGAGCCGCGGGGACACTAAAAAGCCCCGAAATCAACTCAAGATAACCTCAAGATAATCAAGATAACCAGCTGCCGAGAAAAAGCCTGCAGGTGGGACACCTTCAAGGAAGCCACCTGATCACCACAGAGATGGTGATAAACCAGAGTCAAAAACACCAAACGCGAAGACTCGAGGAGAACAGTGAGCCAGTCTCGTACCGGATTGGGCCGATCTGCTGAAAGAGGAGGAGCCGCGGAAAAACCTCCGGGTCCGGACACCGAGCAATCAGCGCCTGAAACCACAGCTGGGTCGGCCACCACGGGGCCAAGAGGACTACTAGCCCCTGGTAAGTCTCTGAGCGAGCCAGGTCCTGGAGCAACAACTGAACCGGGGGGGAAGAGGTACAGAAACCCCCACCTCGACCAGTCCAGCCGAAAGGCATCGACCCCGACAGCCTCGCGGTCGGGAAGATGAATCAGGCGCCACATACACTGAAGACGCCTCGACCACGCCGACGTGAAAAGATCCACCTCTGGACGCTCGAACATCTGGCAGAGCCAATGGAAGGAGTCAGCATCGACTGTCCATTCAGTGGACAGGGGAACGAAACGTGTCAGGCTGTCCGCCAGGATGTTGGACACACCCCGGACATGAACCACCAGGAGAATCAAACGCTGAGAACTCAGCAGACGAGTCACCCGAAGCATCCAGCCCCAAAAAGCCAAGGACTGCATCGAACCACCTCAGGTCAGGCAATGAACCACCGGGGAGCAGTCTGAATGGAGCCGGATCATCGATCCCTGGGCGACCCGAACCCTCCGAAGCGCAAATCACAAAACCACGAACTCCCACACTGTGCTGTGGGTCCGACGGAAGGACGGACCCAACCGCCCCCTGGCCGGACTGGAGAGCACTGGTCACAAAGCACCAGCCTAGAGATGACACGACCGTGAACACATCGAGCGAGGGCTCGGGCAGGCGTCAAGGCACTGAACCCCGAAAAACCCTTAGAGGAAGCCAGTGATGCAGCAGCTGACGCAAGGCCTCTGGGGGTCGAACCCAGTGACCACGAGAGAGGCGGAAGGGACATCCCCGAAGGAACCAGAAAAGTCGATGAAGCCACACCCGCCCCAGCGGGTAGACCAACATTGCAAAGTTCAGGCTCCTGCACAGACCCTTGAGCAACCGCCAAGTGACCCGGGAGCCCCCTAGAAAGAAGCACAGGCGGGACCGCAGCCGAAGGAGAGACGCCGGACGAAGAGACAAGGAAGCGGTTCAAGAGTCCCACACAAGACCCAGCCAGGATCGAACCTGGGAGGGAACCAGATGGGACTTCCTCCAGCTCACCAGGAACCCAAACCCGACGAGCTGGGAAAGCACAAAGTCCCTGGCGAGCAGACACGCGGACCGACTGGGAGCCTAAACCAGCCAGACGTAACCCAACACATGAACACCTAACATATGCAGACGGGCCACCACGACCCGGGTAAGGCGTGTGAACACGCGAGGTGCCAGATTCAACCCGAACAAGAGACAATGAAAGCGGTAACACTGACGCCCCACAACAAAACCAAGCCAGTCCCTGAACCCCAGATGAATAGGGACGTGCCAATATGCATCCTTGAGGTTCAGGGACACCATCCAAGCACCCGGCTCCAACAGAAACCGGACCTGGGACAAAGTGGTCATCTGAAACGAGGGGCAAGAAACCCAAGGGTTCAGACAGGACAAGTCCAGAATGAACCGCAGGTTCGCAAACGGGACTGGAAACAGGTAGGAAACCCACCTGAGAGAAGTCATCGTTTTGACCACGCCCAAATGCACCCACTCCAAGATGACTTGACAGAGTGCAGGAGAGAAAACCTGCCCTGCCAGCTCCAAACCCCCCAAAAGGAGGAGAAACCACCCAATGCCATCGCAGGCCGTGAGAAACGACTCGAAAAGCCCACAAATAGTGAGACCAGGCATGAGCGAACAGAGCAAGTCTCCCCCCTACTGCCCTGTCAATGGGGCGAACCACGTAAGAGTCAATGCCCCTTACAAGAACCCGACCAGAGTGCTGAGCGAACACTGCATCAACCAGGCGCAGCCGGGACTGCAGGCGGCACCGGTTCCAATCCCGACACCTGTGGTCGACCCCGACAAACAGAACCGCGAACCCTGGCACGACCCATCCAGGAAGGGACCCCCCAGAGAACCAATAATTCAGACATAGGGCAGCAAAAGAAAGAAGCCGCCTGAATATAACGCTCAACAGCAAAGGCCGCAAAAACCAAAAAGACAAAACGGGAAAGACGAAGGAAGAAGCAGGGCCCAAGCGAATTCCAGGGAGGACGCGAGAACCGCCTGTCAACACGCGAACCACGCAGCAAAAAACCACAGCAGCCCCTCTCACAGGATCGGCGCAAACAGCTTCAAGAGTGCAGACGACACGCGAACAGCCGAGACCAAGGCACTAGACCCGAGAACAGACCCAAGCGCCTCTACATCCTCCGCCAGTGAATCCGAAGACAGCTCCCGGAGGGAAAAGTAACACAGGACTGCAGCTAAGACGCCACGAGCGCGATAGTCCTCAGCAACACGCGCAGCCGACAGGGAAGGAACCTGCACATGAAGCTGCACCGCGCCAACATCCCACAAAAGGGCAGGAGCGAAAAGGCACACAAAAGGCACTTGCTAAAAGTCGCCCTCCAAGTAAACCTGGACCACCGTCAATGCCTTGCATCACTCAAACATGCGGGTCTGGAAGAAGGAGTCTCAAGCATCCAATGAGAACAAGGGGCAGTCTGCAAGCCAAGACGAACTCAGAACCTTATAATGCACCCAGTAAGGACACGAAGATCCAAACCTGAATGAAGAAGGATTCGTTATGGAGGCAAACTCCGTGTCACGCAGGAGGTAAGCCGCAACGGCCGACCGCACCTCAGGAGGCGAGATGCGGGAAGCCGAAAACCTCCAGAAAGACGGAACCGAACCCGGGGAGGAGCCAAACTTAAATCCAAATCGTATGCAGAGGTGGGAAAAGAAAACCCCACTCCTTGCAACAGTTAGCCACGCTCAGAAGGCCTGAAAATCCAGCAGGGGTCTATCAGAGCCCAAGGACCCCCCAAGTCAGCTCCTCCCCAACCCCGGGAACCCCCACATCAGGCCCCAGGGCCAAGTTGCTCTCTAAAGCCCCTGCCTCAAAAGAAAAATCCGGGGCAGCTGAAAACTTCGAAAGAGAAGGGGCCCACTGGTCAGACCTCAGAGCAAGGGCAAGAGGAACCGACTCTAATGTCCCCGTAACCACCCCGGACAGAGCAACCCCCGAAACTGCCCAAGTCTCAGAAGCCTCTAAACCCTGCCCCGACCCCATAGCCCTCAGACGCTTCGGGGCCAGAAGCAAGGGGGGGGGGGGGGACCGAATGAACCACTGAAGGGGGAAGTACAAGGGGGGCATGGACGGAACCAAGGCCGAAACTACAACCACCCTCAAGTCCGCGTCCCTATAAGCAAAGCGGGGCAGCCTCGGGGGGTCCGGGGAAGCGACAATCAATAAAAAAAGCACATTGCAATAACCTAAACCTATCGTGCAACGCGCGTGCTGCCTGCACCCGAAGAACATCATCCTCAGATTGGGTGAATCGAGTCATAAACAAGCAACAATACTCACATGACTCTGGGTCGAATGTGTTACCGACCCAACAGGCAGCATGACAGAGGCAAAAACAATGAGTGTCGCCCTGAAACAAGGGAACAGAGCAACCCTCAAACTCGCACAAAGCGAGGGGGGGACACAAGGGTCTCCTCCATCGAACCCGAGTGCCCCTTATGGGGTTTCCCAGGGCCCCTAGACTGGGTCTGCTAAGGGTTATCCCAGGCAAGGTACCGCTAATGGTTATCCCAGGCAGGGTACTGCTAACCAGCACCCCAAAGTACCAAGCAAAACTGCCAAAAACTGAATTTACGGGATGTGTCCACTCACGAGGGTGAAGCAGGTGGTGCCACCACACAATAACCCTAATATAAGGGGGAGCGAAAATACAAGGCAGACCCCCCCCTCCACCAGGCAAAACAAAAAGAAAAGAAAAACTCGCAAGAGGACAATGTACCCGAAAAGAACAGAGCCAGCCGCTGTTAAGGTAAAAATGAGCTACGCAGTACCTCGCGCCCCACCAGCGCAATAACTACCACTTACCCAAAGGCAACAAGGATGGCGGACTCCCCACACACTCGGGGCGGCCAAACGCCAAGCAGCGAAAAGCCAAGAAAGGTAGACCCAAGGTGACTTGTGGAAGAGAACCCAAAGCCTCAAGGGCAGTACTTGCAGGGAACTTAGGGAAAGCGACCCTAAGCACATGCAGCCCGAGTACCCAAGAATAATACTCCCAGCTCGCACGACCACTGTAAAAGCAGCACTGAAAACAATGACAGCACTGAAGAAGACTGGAGCTGGAGCCACACGACTGAGCACTATCCCATCAGCCAAGGAACTGAGAGGTGGATTGCCGGCACGAGGGGTCTGGGGCTTCCCCTTCCCCCTCCCGGGCACAGGGGAAGCTGCGCAGACATGCGGCGCGGCTCTGGTGACGTCATGCTTGTTTGCTCGTTTTTTCTTTTTGGGAGTTCTGTCCACTCGTTGGCATTTTTCATTGTTTTAACCAGAATAGGGGTTTGTTTTGTGGCGCTTACCTTTCTGGGTGCCTGCCCCGGTCAATGGCACATACAGAATGCTCCAAATCACATGTGCATTTCTATGGACCACCCACATTGACTGATGCAAAATAGTTAGGGTATCCATATCAGCCTGGATAGCTCCAGGGAGCCGTAGAGGCTTCACCCAGAAATTTCTAGTGTTGTAAAAATTAGAACAGGAGATAATTTGCAGCGGATGAGTCACAATAAGCCAAGTCACAATTCAGCCAAGATGAGGCTATAGATATGGTGACCAAACCACACACTAGAAGATGAAGAGACGACAACGTTTTGGTCCGTCCTGGACCATTAACAAGTCGATTGGGTAACCTTTCATAGTACATTATTACAATCGACTTGATAATGGGCCAGGATAGATCGAAACATCATTGTCTCTTCATTTTCTGGTTTGTGGTTTGGTAATCAGGAGATAATTTTGCTTTTAAGTTTTAATTTGTGTTAGTGTTCTTTCACCAAAAGATTTTGCACTATCAGTTTTGAATGTAGTTTTCTCTGGTGTGAACCCTCACACAATTTACTAGAATAAGTTTCATAGAAGTCTTTCTAACATATACGAAACTATATATTTTTTAAATGCAATGAACATTGATGTGCTGTCCCTCATGTGTGACGGAAACCATATTATTGTTTGGTAACTCACATGATTCAATCATGTGTTTTACCAAGGAAGATTTTTCTGGAAATTCTTTTAGGCAACGAGAACATTGAAATTTCTCTTCAGTGTGAGCCTTTCTGTGTGATATTAGAGCAGATTTAAATTTAAAGCGTTTTACACACATTGTACATTGATATGGTCGTTCTCCTGTGTGAGTTCTTACATGTGATATAAGAGCAGATCTACATGTAAAATCTTTTGGGCACTCTGAACATTGATAAGGTTTCTCTCCTGTGTGGGTTCTCATATGTACTACTAAATAAGATTTTCTGGCAAAGTCTCTCTGACACTCTGAACAGTGATACGGCTTCTCACCTGTGTGAGTCCTCATGTGTTTTACTAAATTAGAATTTTCTTTGAAGTCTTTTTGACACAATGGACACTGAAATGGCTTTTCTCCTGTATGAGTTCTCATGTGTGATACTAAAGCAGATTTTTTTGAAAAGTCTTTTTCACATACTGAACACTGATGAGGTTTCTCTCCTGTGTGAGTTTTAATATGTGCTACTAAAGCATATTTATCTGAAAAATCTTTTAGACACTCAGTACACTGAAATGGTTTCTCTCCTGTATGATTTCTCATATGCAATATTAAATGAGATTTTCTGAGGAATTCTTTTAAACAATCTGAACATTGATATGGTTTCTCCCCTGTGTGAATTCTTCTATGTTTTACGAGCATTGATTTTTCTGAAAAGTCTTTTAAACAAATTGCACATTGATAAGGCTTTTCTCCTGTATGAGTTCTCCTATGTGAGATTAATGCAGATTTGTTTGTAAAATCTTTTACACAAACAGAACAATGATAAGGTTTTTCTTCAGTATCAATGTTCATTTGCTTTACCAAGTTGTTTTGTTCTGTATGAATGTTCATTTGAGTTACTAAGTGAATAGCGAGATCTCTGGCTAGAGACTGGTTCGCAAGGGCAGCAAGCCCCAGAGCCATCATACTTAACTAAAAAATATACTATAAAAGGTAACAAATATTTTAACAAATATTTCAAATTACGAATACTGAATTTTATTTATATACGTTACAGTAACATTTTGCACTTAGGATATTTTTCTTTTAAATCTAAAATTCTAACTAGAAAAATAAAAAGATTTATGAGAAGGTGCTTGAAACACTACATTTATACAAATTTTCTTTAGTGTGCACACTCTTGCATGGTTACAGTAAATTTATTAACAAAATCTTTACAATACGAGATTCTAAAATATGTTTTGCAGTTCAGTTTGCCTAAATTTTGTTAGACAATGCTTTGATAAGAACACTGAACAACAATATGGCTTCTTTACTGAGTGAACTCCTGTCTGTATACCTAATCAGAAATACAGTAATAATGTAACAACTTTTACACTTTATACACATAAATTTTTATGCCATGAATCTATATTCTGTATACAGATTTATAACACTGAACAAAGAACTGGCTTTACATAATGAGTGCATATGGCATGAAAGTTCAAATTATATCTAACAATGACTACACTATTAGTGTGTTCATTAATTTTAAGTTGTATTCAACAAGAATTTAAATTTGTTTTGAAAACTGATGCTTTTATGGTAATTAACAGCATTGCACACTGCTTGAAAAGTATGAGTATTCAAACTAAACAAAAGTTTTGAAGTACAAAGCACACTACAGGAGAGTGATTCTAAAAAACAAGGTATACTGTACAATGAGAAAATATAAATATACTGAATGTATCTAAATGCATTAAGGTGATACAGAAACCTCTGACTATGTAGCTCATTCTTGCAAGCATTCCCAGCATCAAGAAACTGTCATACTAAAGTGCCTTATCCTAACCAACCAGAGGACCCATGAACAGGAAATGGGACAATATGTCAATTTCACAAGCCACTAACATTTTCTAGTAAGACAGTTTTTGGCCTTAGGTAAAGTATACATCAAAGTGTGATGTGCTTTAACGAGGATAGGTTGAACTATGAGGGGTTGCTTAATCGAATGAAGATATTGGTAAAGGATATGACAAATGGTGCACAAATATGCCTTGATTACAAGCTATTCTATATATAATGGTTTAAGATTCTTTTACAATGATTAGTATAGAAGAAATTTGTCTGTGTATTTCATACAGCAGACATACAATTCCTTTTGTTATTACTTCTGTACATTGCTTACAAAATGTTATAGCCAAACAGTACAATGGCTACATAAACAACACTTAAAATACTTGCACACTATACAAATATCTAATACTGAAGACACCAAAGAAATAATGTTTTTTTATTATAAACATTTCTTGGTAAACCGGGGTTAAAATTCAATTTACTAGATGTCAATAATGCAACTAGAACACTTCAGGGGAAAGGTAACTAAAAAAGATAAATAATTTGACAGCAGCAGGCAGCTGGGTGTACACGTAGTAAAGATGTTAAGACAAAAGTCAAGATAATAAGTATTGATACTGTACCAGTAGTACGTCTGAGATTAGTCTGCTTTATGACACTCAAGCTGCAGATGCTATAGGCTGGAGCCCTTCCACTTACATGAGCTTAATGTCACTATCTTGGCATTGCAAGAGTAATTCTTCGGCTTTGAGGAAGAGCTGTAAAAGAGAGAAACAGGAATGTGTTAAACTACAGCAATATGAAATAACATTTACCTTTTGTTTATTTATAATGGAAGGCCATTTACATTTTACAAGTGCACTCAGAACATCTTCTGGAACAGTGTAGCTCTCAAGAGAGAAAATCTAACACAGAAATATCCAAAAAGGTCCCCAGAGTTAAAACTGAGTTATTTATTAGCTTCATTAGATCAGGTTAGGTTAAGTTAGAACAGGATAGGAGAGAATAGGTTTGTTGAACCTTATAGATGCACTTGTCAAACAGGGACAATCATGCCATATCTGATCCTACTGTGCAAGTCAGTGAGGGATGAATTAAAGCACCGTATAAGATTTAAAAGTCCTGTACATACACAGGGCTCACATTTGCTTCCCCGGGCCTTCAATAAACAGATGCCATCCTGGAAATAGTGAGCACCCCTCCTAGGTAGGTGTGTATTAAGAGGGCGACCACAGACAGTGCATGATGCAGCTCACAACACTCATGCAGCTTGTACCCACAGCATCACTTAATAATGATGGGAACAAATAACTGATTACATTTTTATAATAGTGCCACAGAAGATCCTGATTGTGATAAAGTCTATGTACAAGGTTCAGATATCAGTGAACACAATACTGGTTATGATGTTCACAGTTGTAGGAAGATATTCCCAGCACACAACCACAGGTTGTACATCTACACATGAAACGGTACTTCATCTTCCATTAGAAAATAAACTTGTGGAAAATGATTCGTATTCATGATTTAGTGACAGGAATCTGATAACAATAGCAGTGTTATGGCTAGAGTTAGCAAGTGCTTAGTATATTGGAGGCCTTTTGCTGCATAAGGTGACGTGTGATGCTATGCTGTGGTTAAATTTCATTACCTCACCTACCAGGACTGCTTAGTGGTTTGTAATGGTGCAAGAAAATGTAGATACAGTACATCCTTACTCTAATGAACCCTGGCCTACTGAATTCCCAGATACGAACAAATTGAATTCTGTACTAAATGTTCAGTGGAACACACAAATGTACGATTAACCCTTAAAGTGCGCATCACGTCATATGATGTGTTGGACGTTGTTCCAGTCAACTGCACATCATGTCATATGATGTGTTGGAGTACTACGCAAGATTTAAACGGCCCGCGGATACACAGGGTTCACCACACCTTCATCAGGGCTCTTGTAAACAGACGCCATTTTTTTTAAAAATCGTGGGCCAAAATTCCCGGGTGTTATTGGCCTCAGTATTGAGTGAGCTACCAAGCCTGACGCACGCAGCATGAGCTAACAGCACTGCTGTTCAGCTTGTGACCACAGCATCGCCTAAAAATGCCATAATATACTTGTTCATGCTATTATGTAGCGATGATATTATTACTGAAGACCCCTGACTGTGATAAAACTGACCAGGGTTCTGATAATAGCAGGATTGTGGTGATATTTAGCGCTGTGCGCCATGGAGGGAGGAGTAATGCTGTGGGAGGGAGGGTGGTGGCGATGTCTTCTGACTGTGTGTGGCCACCTTTTATTGACTGCACTCACCATACCAGCTTAGTGTTTCGCTATGGTGAACACAAATGTAGATACTTATATATAACGTGTGTATAGAGGGTATAAACAGCAAGAAGAGAAGGTTGGGAGCCCCCATTTTGGTGAGGACAGTGGCGTCGTCTGCACGACGCCACCGTGCAGACGACGGTGTTGTTTACTGGTTACCACGATGGATTTTGGGCACCATACCAGTTTACTTATACAAGTATGGTGAATAAAACAGGTAGATATTTATATATAATGTGTGTATATAGCGTAATAACACTACAAACAGTATTGTTGGAGGAGAAATATTAGTGCGTCTGGCCTTGAGGGCAGCAGCCATCAGCTGACTGTGTGAGGTCCTACGTCTTTGTGCCTTTACTCACCATACAAGCTTAGATGTACAGTTATGGTGAACAAAACATGTAAATACTTATATATAACATCTGTATATAAAAGCAAAAACAGTATGGTGGGTGGAGAATGGTGGCAAGTCAGGTGAGGTGAGGGAGGGATGGAGTGGCAGCCAGTGGCGGGCTGCCACTGCCTGTTACTGCCACTGCCACTCAGCATACCAACTTAGTGGCTCGTTATGGTGAACACGAATGTAGATACTTATATATAGCGTCTGTATATAGTGAATAAAAGCAAAAACAGTATTGTGGGAGGAGAATGTGGGTGAGTCAGATGACTTGAGGGAGGGCGGGAGTGGCTGGCTGGTGCACGGCGGTCACCCCTCGTTACTTTTTGACTCATAATAGCAACTTAGTGGTTCGTTATGGTGAACAAAACATGCAGATACTTATATATAACCTGTGCTTATAGTGTAATAACCGGCAAAGTATTTGTTCACTGATTGATGAACATAATTGAATCAACAATATGCACACCATATTTTTGAGTACAGCGATGATTCACTCATTTTATTATATAAATATATCACACTACACACTATTGAACAATATTACAGCAAAAAAACTATGAAAAATCAATCAGAGACATTGAAATAATTAGGTAATTATCTCTTTGTGGCAACTCCGGCCTGACAGCTGGCGATCAACAGACCGCCTGGGACGCATGCTGAGTCAGCGCCTATTTTTTGCCAGACTTCCCCGCCCTATAGCGGGCAATATATGCCACTTACAATTTTTTTTATTATTTTTTCCCGTGATCAGTGAACACAAATTAACAGGTTAGGAAGAAAAAATAATTTTTTTTTTATTTCAAAATTACATGTGCCTGTGGGGAAGAAAGGATATTATACCCCTAGCATGTTAAGGGTTAAGTAGTTCTGCTGTATGTTGAGTACTACAATACAGTTTATGAAAACTATTGTACACTAAAATTACTGCAACTTTAATTTTAACACTATGTACACACTTAAAACTCGTGCTGGGTATAGCTGTGCTCGTGCTGGGTACAGCTGTTCTCGTGCTGGATACGGCTGTTCTCATGCTGGGTACGGCTGTTCTCATGTTGGGTACGGCTGTGCCAATGCTGGTTGATTTTCTGCTACTAGTTTTTGCAAAATATTGCTTCATTTCTGGCATTAATAAGGCACTATTAGTAAACCCCCTGAGACATTTTGTTGTATATCAATACAGCTGTAGTCAAAAAATTGTAATTTCCCTGATTATTCTTTGACCAGCGGTAAATATTGTACGTCACTTGCAGACAAAGTTATGGGCACTGGGTGCATACTGTATGAACGTAGACTAGGTCTATACGTACACCCTACAGTAGGCTGGTGTTTAAGCCAGATCCAGTAACATTAATTTCTCTCAAATATTCAATTTACATCAAATTATATATTTTTGGGTTATATATTTAGTTTAGCAACATTATTACGATAATAAGAGCTATAAAAATACTAATTTTAGAACTGATTTATTGATTATAGTATTTTGAAGCCGTAAGTCACTGAACTATGACGACAAAATCGAACAAAACAAGCATTGTGTTCTGTGCACATGGATTAGACCTGTCCACTCGCGCTGGACTTGTGAGCCGCCAATAACATGAATAATTTCTCAAATAGGAGATATCTATCACATTACAGTATATTTTTTGTTTCATTCAGTTTAGTTTAATTAGGGTAATAAAAGAGTTATTAAAACACCAGTTTTATTAAAGATTTATTAATCTGAAACGTTCAAAGTCATGGGTCACGGAACTATGACGACACAAGACGAAAGTGAGTGAAACCTCAATGTAAAGTGAGGTTTACACTACAGTATTCCCCTATTTGTCCACCCTCACTCATCTTGTTTCATCACAGAAAATTTATATAATTAGATTTCAACACATTAGCTAGCTATTCACACTTCAGTCTTTAACCCTTAAACCGCGCATATCATATATATATAATATCAGTGACAAAACCGAAACCGCGTACATCATTTATATAGAGCACCCCTTGGTTTCCGAACCCTTTGGGGACGAGACTCGTCGGTTAACATGTAAGTTCGTAAACGAGAAATAAAGGGCAAAAATAAACTAGAAATGCAAAAAAAAAAAAAAAATTACGAAAAATTTATGAAAAAAACTCTAGGGAAAAAATTGACAGGTTCATAGCGTAAATGAGACCGTATTTTGTTTGTACTCACCAATAAGTGAAGTTCTGATCCGCTTTATAAAAGTCCTTAATTGTTCCTAGCTGATTATTAAGACATCTGGCGAACATCCTCTGAATGTTTCCTGCCAGCCTGCAGGAACATGCTGCCAGCCTGCAGGAACATCCTGCCAGCCTGCAGGATCAGCCTGCCAGCCTGCAGGAACATCCTGCTAGCCTGCCAGCCTGCAGGAACATCCTGATAGCCTGCCAGAACACCCTGCCAGCCTGCTACCCTGCCTGCCAGCCTGCCTGCCTGCCTGCCTGCCTGCCTGCCTGCCAGCCAGCCTCACTCTCTGCCTGCCTCCTTTCCTGCCTGCCTGCCTCCTTCCCTGCCATCCTGCTAACGGGTCGTGTGTGTTAGGCTTAAAATTCGGGAGTGAGCTGGTCTCTCCCCCACCACCCCCACCACCAACCCCCTCCCCCCCCTACATCCCATACTCTCTCTTCAAGGTCACGCGGTTCAACCACGTGACTATTCCTGCCATCCAGCCTGCCTGCCATCCAGCCTGTCTCCCTCTCTGCCTGTCATCCAGCCTGCCTGCCATCCAGCCTGCCTCCCTCTGCCTGCCATCAAGCCTGCCTCCCTCTCTGCCTGCCATCCAGTCTGCCTCCCTCTGCCTGCCATCCAGCCTGCCTCCTTCTCTGCCTGCCATCCAGCCAGCCTGACATCCAGCATGCCTCACTCTCTACCTGCCATCCAGCCTGCCTCCCTCTCTGCCTGCCATCCAGCCTGTCTCCCTCTCTGCCTGCCATATCCAGTCTGCCTCCCTCTCTGCCTGCCATCCAGCCTGCCTGCCTACCTACCTACCTGCCTGCCTGCCTGCCTGCCTGTCAGCCTG